TAGATAATAAACTTTTTTCTGCTAACAAAACCTCTATTTCTTGTTGCTTCTAACTTTATAAGGTAACATTCTATTTGTTAGTCATTTTACTTTCTAGAACCTTCTTGCCCTTAATAGAGAAAGTGTATACTTGAGTCTTTTCAAGCTAATAGAGACTCAAGTTTTTATTCAAAAGAATTTATAAACAAGTAAGAAAGAATAGGGGAGATAATTAAAGACAAGCTGCAAGTTGTTTTAATGAAAGTATAAAGACTTTATTAGCAAGAAAGTATAAAACTTCCTGTGAACATCTTTTTTATGTGTGGTCAAAGGATTAGCAAAAAGAGTTGGATTTTTTTATTAAAGATATTATTAATATAAAACAATAATTATATCATAGAGAAATATATAAAAAAGATATATTAAGTATATTATCTTAACATAAGAAAATTTATTAAAAGATAAAAATAGAAAATTCTCAACCTTAAGATAGCACTTGAAAAAAGGATCAAAGAAGTAATTTATAATAATCAAAGTTTTTTTGCAATTCAAAATAATAAAGTAAATTATATATATATTGAAACTTAAAAAAAAAACTATTATTAAATAAAATATTAAAGGAGTATATTAAGATTACCTAATAGAAATACTTTAATATAACCTTGGATTCAAAGAAAAACTGATCTTTTATTTTGATGAATTACTTATTAATTATGAAAAGAAAAAATAAAGATAAGAAATACTTGAATTTAAATAGGAAAAGTAGAAAGAGAAAACAAGTTCCAAATAGAAATAAATATTGATTCTCTTTTATAAAGGCTAAATTAATAGCAGTTATAATAATACTCCTGCTAGTTATTATTGATAATACAATTGAGATTTGTATAGATAATCAAGTCTATATCTTCAAATAAAAGACAATAAGAAAAGAAAACTCAAGGAAAATATATAAAAAATGGCTAAAAAAGAAAAATTTGGTTTACTAAGAATAAATAGTAGAGCTAATAAAGAAAAAAAATATAGAAATAAAGTACATTAAAGTTAAGATATATTTTAATAATTCTTATAATAAAAAAATAAATATTCTTGCTAAAGAAATTCTAAAACTTCTGTTAATGAATAAAAAGATCTTACTTTATATAAATTATTACAAAAATTAAGTGATAAGATAAGATAGATTATTAAGAATGTTAATAACAAAACAATAGCCTATTAGTAAAAGCAATAAAATAAAACAGAAAAAAATAAAGTTATTAAATTTTATAGTATTATGTTTACATATAATATCTAATATAAAAAAGAATCAAAGATAATATACATAGGATATATTCTTTAAAAATTTTTGATAAAGAAGCTTTCTTATCAATCTAATTAATGATAAACTATTAATGTTAAATAAATTAACTATAAAAAGATTTAATTTATATAAGCAAATAAAATATATTATATATGGTTAACAAGAAAAAACTATAAACACTTGTTAGAATATTTAGTTCATAAGGATTAACTATAAGTAGCATAAAAAAAGAAGTAGATGGAATTCTAGAAATTTAAAGAGATTTTGCAGAAAAAAAAAAGATTGAAGATAAAAGTATCAGGTTGATCATCAATAATCGAAAAGAACTAGGCGAGCTTAATAAGTAGATCTTTAAACTAATTAAATGGACTTCTAAAATTAATCAAGATATTCTAAGTTTTTGTACTAGTCTTATAAAAAATAATCACATTCTAGAAATAGTAGATCTAAAATTCCAAAATATATATAGAAAGAGAAATAAAAAATTGGATACTAAAAATACAAAAAAGAGTTTACAATTAAAACCAATAAAGAATTTGAAACATGAAATACAAAAAGATATTTAAATAGAAATAGATACAAGAAATTGATAGAGCAAACAAGACAAAAAAACTTTTAAGTTCTACAAGCCAAAAAACTATGTTTTCAAAGAGAAAAAATTATTATTAGAAGAAAAAAACCTAAAATATAAAAATCTTCAACAAAAAAAAAATGAAATATAAAATAAAATAGTTATATTTTGAGTTCTATCAAAATTTGCAGAGTAATCTGCAATAATAATCTGTAGATAATAAAGTTAGTAGTTGAAAGAGTCTTTATTTAACCTATTAATAAAGCAATAGATTATTTACAATATTATATTTAAAGTTTTAAATAAATTTCAAAATAGAAACAAGTAAATTAGATAGAAATTTAGCTTTAACAATATATTTTTCAATATAAAATATATAAATATTTAATAAAGTATATATGCTTAGTCAAATAAAAGATTTTAAAAAAAATTAGAATATAATTATCTTTTATTTATATAGTATACTATTTCAATAAATAATTTTTTTTTTAACTCACAGTTAGGTCAGTATAACATGTCTTTATTATATATTGTAGCAAGCCAATTGATTAGTTTATTGCTAATAACCAAAAGCTTATATAATTTACAGATAAAAGAGTTTTATTCTTCTATAATACAAATAAATATATAAAGACAAAAGCATAAAAAGATTTGAATGAGTCTTAAGGTAGTTTTCCTAAATTATTTATAGCCTCACTATTATAATATATGTCAAAAGATTTTTCTCAAGATTCATTATTTTTATTAAATTATTATATTTATATCTTTTTACATATAAGGTTGTTATATAATCACTATAGTTATTCTATTATAATACTATATATAAATTACTTTATAATCAACTAATTTTCTATTATCTCAGCCTATAGTATTTTATTTTTTATTATAAATAAATTGTTTATATATTCTTCTATATTATAAAGAATATGGTAATAGTCAATAATTGATTGTTTTATATAAGTTTCTATTATATTTTTATAATTGATCACATAATTATAGAAAAAATTCTGAACTTGGTCTGACTTAACTTTTTTGATTTTTAACAATATATATTAAATATTTATAAAATATTGTGTTTTATATATATCAACTTATTTGTTATTGAAAACCATTTCTTTAGATATACTATAACTTATAAAATAATATTTCACTTTTTTGCTAATTTGGATAAGTTTTCAAATTAGTAAAATTATTGTTTTTAGTTATTATTGTAAATTATTTTAAATTATATTATTTTAATAAATAATTTATTTTTTTTTAAATCTACAATTATGTTATTATATTGTACAATATCTTTATTAAGAAATTAAAATAAAATTTATATAAGATATAAACTTTTTATAAAGTGACTAATTAATCTTTATATATAAGTACTTTAAATTAGATATTAAAAATAATAATATAATCTTCTAATAGATTAATTATAAACTCTATTTATCAAGATCATTATTAATAGTTTGTTACTATGATTAATTTGAAAATCAATAAATTTTTCAGTTAAAAAAAAAAGAAAAAAATAATAATTTAAAAAAAAGGATAACTCAAGATCTATTTAAAAAGTTCAAATATAAAAACAATTTTCTCTTAAAAAGGATTTACCTAATTAAAGACTTTTTGCATCATTTAAACTTCAAAAAAAAAATTTTTTTTACAACTGTGATATTGAATAAGTCAATCCAACTGGTTCTTTATTTAAGCAAGCATTAAATTGAAATATTTTATGAAAAATATTTAAACCTTAGCTTTTATTTATTAAAGTTTTATCATTACTTGAGGAACTTAAGTAAAAGATAAAAGTCTATAATATACATTATCTATTACTTGATCTTTTGATATTATAAATATATTTATTAAGGAATCTGGACCTTTGAAAGTAAATATTTCTGAAGTATTCTTTTTAATTATTAATAATATCATTGAAACATATGAGAGTAATCAATAGAAGTCTTATTTATATTTTAAAAACCAATATGTTTCATATTAATCAATTATTTTTAATAAAAATTTAAGTTATTTAAAATTTAGGATCAAATTGAGTTAGCAAAATTTTTCAAAAAAAAAATGAAAATGGAAGCTTTAAAAGAATTAGGACAGTTTAAAAGAGAAAGAATAAATTTTTTAATTGCAATAAAATTTTTTCAAACCTTTTACCTCAAAGATTAGAAAAGTCTTTAAATATTTCATAATCAGTTCTTCTTTCTTTAAAAACTTTATTGGTATTAGAATTAAAGATATTATTTTATTTTTTTTGATTACTAGAAATTAAGTTTTGGGTAAAAAGATTTACAAATAAAAGAAATAGAATAGAAGCAACTTTTAAAGTCATATTTCAATTTTTTTAAAGAAAGTATTAAGTAGCAAAGAAGAAAAACTTCTTGCAAACATCTTTTTTATATAGGATCAAGAATCAATAAAAAGAATTTCTTTGTTTATTATTTTAATAAATAATATATAGTGAATTTTATATATTTTAAGTTATACTATATATAATTTATTAGCTTAAACTGTTAATTATAAAATTTTTTTTAATATTTTAAAAAATATAAATCAATATAGATCTAAAATTTGAAAAATTATTATTAAATTTTTATAAGTATATTATAAATAATTTACCTAATTTTTTTTCAAAAATTTTTATATATAGAAATCTTTTGAATATAAAGTTTACAAGAAATATTTTTCTAAAATAATAATCAAAAAATTAAAAGATAAATTAATAATAAAAAAATATTATATTTTAGACTCAAAAAACAATTACAAGTCCTATTATTAAATTGAATTTTTAGTAAATCAATGATTTTTTCTTTTATATATATTAAAAATATTTAAAAAAATATAAAAAATAATATAAATTCTAAATGATATCTTATATAAATTGTATAATTTTTGAAGGTATAATTATAAAATATTTTAAGTTATAATAAAAATAAAATGTGACCAGAACTTATTTGATTTAATGTATACAGTATATACAGTATATAATACTTTTCTTAAAAAAAAAAAAAGTATATACTATAGATTTAGTCAATCAAGTCATACCACTATAATTGTACATGATGTGCGCATAGCGTATTTCAGCTCGTCCGAATATCGGGTTGTTTTTTCAGAATCAGAAACAAAAAATTGGTCGAGAGATGTTTTTTTCAGGAGAGCATGGAAAGTTCACGCATTATTAAAAAAAATGAAGCTGGTATACGTTTAGAAAAATTGGTATTCCTTCATTTTCGAGATATTGTGACTTCAAAACATCTATGCAGACTCTGTTTCAAGCGCGGCGAGATTCTCGTCAATGGCAAACCTGCTGAAAGCACACGTCTTCTTCGCGAAGGAGATGAGATACGTTTACAGATTAATAAGTCGGCATTGGAAAAAGACAGACTAGGCATGTCTGTAACCTTAAATTTTGAAGACGAATACCTTGCCATAGTAACAAAGGACGCTGGTGTACACATGAAGGGTTTGAAAGAAGGGTTGTCCTTTGCGTTGAACAACGGAGTGAAGATCGATAGTTGTGAATATACTTGCATTAACCAATTGCCAAGAGCCGTCAATGGTTTGATTATAGTATCGAAGACAATGGATATAAGGAATAAACTCGCAAAAATGTTAAAATTAGAAGAAATTAAGCAAAGATACCGTGTTATCGTCCACGGCAAATACGAATACTCAACTTCTCCGAATCCAAACTTTGAAGTTCACCAGGTACATCTCACCAGAAGTACGTCTGGTGAAGGAAACTACCTTACTACTTTGGATGTTGTTATCAATTCTTGTTCAGAAACGTTAGCATCTGATATTAAAAAATATTTTGCAAAGATTTGTCACCACATTGTCGGTTCAAATTCTTGTTCCAAGGAGTTAAAATCATGTAAGGATAAAGGAATGATGATGGCATTGGTAGAAATCTCGTTGCAACATCCAGTAATGGAGAAAAGAATTATTGTGAAAATAGAAGAGCCTCCGAAGTTTGAAACAATACGACAACGGGAGTTACGCTTTTACAACAAAAAACGTAAAGAGGAAATTGAAGAGCTAGATCGTTATGGAATCAAATTTTCAGAAAATCACGATTCGCAAATACCTATTGCGTATACTACGGGTGAAAAGGAATTTTTTGATTTGCGATTTTATGTCACCAAGGATACTATGATTCCTAGATCTTCAACAGAATTTCTAGTGCATGCAGCATTAAATGTATTCCATGAATCAGATAAATTTGATTTTCACAATGTAAAGGATAATCATGGAAATCAATCGTTCGCAATTTTGGATATTGGGACTGGTTCCGGATCCATCCTAATTTCGGTTTTGCACTCTATAATAACCTATTTTTATCGGATGACTCCAAATGTCCCTTTGAATCCTTTGATATTTGGAATTGGTTTGGACATTAATATTAATACGCTTGATGTTGCACGAAGGAATGCTGCTCGACATTTGGATCCCCTCGTTAACCGAAGTGAGAATCTGGGAGAAATACTTAAATATGATTTCATTCATGCAGATATGTCGAACCTTCACAATTTTATTCCATTATTTAATAAGGATTTTAACGTCCTGGTATGCAACCCCCCATACCTTGACAACTCCAAAGATCTTCATAAAGATGATAAACGCCTTCTTGAACCTCGAGAGGCATTATTTGCTGATGAAGATGGATTCAAAGCCTATCGATTGCTTTTCGAGACTCTAGAATTATCATTTACAGAAGGGAAAAATATTTTGCGAAAAGATGCCTCGGTGATCGTGGAAGTTGGAAGCAAGATGGCAGAAAAGGTTAAGAAGATATTTAAAGGTTGGAATTGTGTGAGAAGTATTAATGATCGCCAGGGTTTTGAAAGATGTTTGATTTTCCGTCGTTACAACGGTGACTCCGGATTGATATCTAATTTGGAAGAAGCTGAAAGAAAATATATTGAGAATGCTTTATAATATTTTTATTTTTATGTTAAGGCTTATAAATGTAATTAGTATTTCTTGGCACAAGGTTAATAGAATTTTGAATAATTTTTTAATGAGAAAGGTTTTTAATTTCTTTGCAAAAAAAATATTCGATGTTCATTTTTTTATTTTTATTTTTTTTTACTAGAATACGTTATTACCCAGTGTTTTTATTTACAAATTTTTGCTTTTTCAATTAATAAAATTTTTTCTTATTTCTATTTATGATAGGGTTTAGTGTATACAGAAATAAAAAAACAATAATGGTCTATTGGAATATGCCATAAACATTTAAATTTTTGTTTTTCATAATTACTAAGTTTTCAAATATCAAACTTCTTATTTAAATATAAATATTTGAAATTCTGTTCTATAAAATACTTCTAGCAAATTAAAAAAACAATAATAAACTTTATAGATGTTTTTGAAGTTAAATTTAATTTGATTTGTTTTTTTAACCTGTCATCAAACTAATATGGCTTGGCTTTATTTGATAATATTTACAAATTATTGGCTTTCATATATTAACTTATCCATCATTAAAGTTTAATCTTCTCTAAATGCAACTTAAAGAAGACATTTTGCTCTCTTTTTGTTTTGGATTCTTCTTTAACAATTAAAATCATTGCCTAAATTTTATCACTATTAATTACCAAGTTATACTTATGAATTAAAACCTTGATTATTTTATATTTTTAAAAATTTATCTTATTATAATTTTAAATATTTTTATATAAATATTTATATATAATATTATAAAGCTATTTTTTTACTATTGAATTTATTAAAATCATATAATTAATATAATCAGTTTTTTTTAAAATAACAATTTGATTTTTATCTATATTGTTTATTTTTTTAATAATATATCACAATATATTAAGATACTTTCTTTCAATATTTATATTCTTTTTATTTTTATTTTTTTTTTTTGCAATACTCATAACTAGATTAAATTATAATTCATTAATCAATAAAAAATAAGAATACATTATCAGTGAAGCAATATAATATATATTAAAGCTAAACTTTTACAAATTAATCTAACTAACTTATTGTAAATAATAATAGTCTTTAAGTTTAATCTTAAAAATTATATTTTACTCTATAATAGACTTTGGGTAAAAACTTATCTAGTTTATATTTTATTACTAATATATTATTATTGTAATATATCCTATTAAGTTACTGAAATAGAAAACTACAAAAAAAAAATGGAAAAAAAAGAAAAGAAATATATTAAAAATATACAGATATACTTAAAAAAAATTAATAATAATAAAAAATAAAATTCCTTAGTTTTCTCTAAAAACCTATTTTTTAAAACTCTCTTTTCAATAAAAAATATATTATTAAAAAATATTTTTTTAATTATCTAAAAAACTTATTTATTCTCAGACTTAATTTTTTTTTATATATTATTTAAAAAAAATTATTGCCTATTAGGAATTTTTATTTTTAAAAATATGTTTAAACTCAATCTTTTTTAGATAATAATTTTATATACATTTATGATAAAGAAACAACTTATAATATATTTTAGATTTTAATATAATCCAATAAGAACTGAATCATATTGTTTCAGTATAATATTTTTTAACAATTATACTTAATTAAAGAAATTTTATTAATAAATATTTTCTATTATCTAAAAAACAAATTTCTTAATAATTTTTTTATCTTATAATAGTAAAAGAATTTTTAATCAATAATAAAAATTCTTATTGATTATATTATTTCTTTATAATTTTTGAGAAAATATATTCTCAAATAAAACAAAAGAGTT